GAATGCCAAAAAATCGAAGTCAATAAACCGGTTTTTTTGCTGAACCACAAATATTCTACAAACTTCAATTTTAGTTCAACATGTTTGAAGCTCTGGTACTTACAAAACAATCGATGAAATTATTTCGACTCATTTCGCATCCTTTATTTTTATAGTTTCAGGGAAATTAAAATCGCGTTTTACGTTAATTTCTTAGGCACAGTAACTTGCCATAAATATCATCACATTATCTAATTATAAATTCTGATATGGTACCACATGAAATCTATATTGACTGAATAACTGGCAGATAGACAGACATACTTATGTTGAACCTAAGAGGAATCTAATTCTTATCTCACCACCATATCTACAGTATTTTATTCCACTCTACGCTTAACAACCTCCTGGTTTTTCAGCTACTCTCTATTAATATTAACACTTCCACCATTCAACTAATGCAGTATATATTGTCAAGTTCCAGAATCCTACAGTTAATTAATCATGTTAATACTTGCTAACGCTACTTATACACGAATAGAGCTTTTAACTGCACAACATGTCCACTCTTGATGTTAATGCCTCCTTTTATCCTCCAACTAAATGATTACTGAAAAATTTCAGTACTTCAGAAAATCATTTATGGTATCTGTTAGATGTCTGTGCGTTATGGTTACATTAAAAAGTCATCAATTTAAGTTATCCGTAAACTTGTTCACAGACTCTGTACCAAATAAAAGCTACTAGACTTACAGCAGGGGATAGCTAACACTAAATAACTTAACAGTCTTGACACAATGAATGATTAAACTCATTTGGACTTGAAGAAAATAAAAGACAAATTCAGCGAAGAAAATTTTCTTTATCGGCGAAATTATCTTCAGAAGCTGTACAGTAGTATTTATATTTACCAAAAAAGTATATTTGTCTATTACTGAGTAGTAGGAGGTGACGTAATTGATATAATTACTCAGAAGTGACTTTAGAAGTAAAAAATAAAAGTTCTAAATTACCTGGTAGTCAACGGCACAAATTTAGAAATTTAATAAGGTTAAGATTGCATTTGGTTTCGAAACTACTTTCACTAAGTGCCTTATCTGGAGTACCGCTCGTGTCTATGAAATGCATTTAACCGCATTCGTAAATAGCTACCAGACTGTTATTAATGATAATATATTTATTCTTATCTGTGTAGGATGCATCAGTTTTGCGGGCAGGGATAATTATTTTTTAAATTACATAAATTTGGTTTGTGGTGAATTTACATGGTTGCTGTCCTTTTTGCCTTTGGTTGGTGGGCACAGTCTGCTTACTAGTCATTCAAGAGAACATACTAAGAAATATAGAAACATCATCTTCGCACAAACAAATAAACCCAAGTATGTTTTGGGTGGATTACAAATGTTTGGGAAAAAACAAAGCCTGAAGCCAATCTCTCCATATAACTTTGGTGTGTGCGGCACCGTGTCTTGTTCTTTATTTATATCCAAATCGGGGACTGATTTTAAAACAGTGACATATTGGTATCATTTTGTCGACATATTCATCGTCAGTAACGCTAGATATGAGTTGTACTGAGTACAAGCTAATGTTGGTCATGATAGGCAGATTTGTTTAACTGCTTTGAAGAAGCCAGTAGTTACAACTAGTAAGCCATTGTTGAATAGAGTGTCACAGACGACATCGCAGTTTGTGCAGCAGAAGAGAGTTACAGTTTCAGAGTCTAGTTCTGACTCCACAGGTTTTCGAGGTATTACTAGTCAGAGTAAAGGTAAAAAATCTTTAAGGATTTATGAGGAAGGACCCAAATTGTCTACTGCTGTTATTAAAGAGTTTGAAAATGATGAAGTCGACAGATAGACGACGATAAAGTGAATAATTGTGATAATGATCATGATAGTGGACATTTGTCTTTGGCTGATCATGATGAGATGAGAGGAATGCCTACTACTATTGAGTTGAACAAAGGGTCTGTACAGCTTGAATGTGAAGTAGAATTAAAGGCAGATGCGTTTGCAGAAGGTATGGATACTCGTGAGACCGTGTAGCTCACCTATCGACGGATGTTAAGGCTGAACCACAGCTAATCATAAAAGATAGCAGTGGCGATAATCCTACGGTTAGACGACCTTGTAAATGTCGAATAATAACAGCTTCTGACGCACCGCTGAGTTCGTCAACTGGTATTAGTCAGTCGTCGTTGGTGTTGTCATCCACAATGACAGAGACGTACATGAACTCAGGTGTCTTGTGCTGTGATTATGCTAGTATCGGTTCGTTTGAAAGGACGAATGTCAATGGTCAGTTTATTGAGGATAAGCCAACTGTGTACGAGAGGGTAATTGTTAAACTGACTTGCATGAATAAAGGCATTTCAAGTTTCAAGTTACTATTTGAAAGTTATTATCTTTGGTGTAAATTACTCTAAGTTTGGTTGGTCAGATACGTCGTATGTTTGTTAGTCATCTACATTCCATGATACAGTGACATGGTCGTATTACCATTCAAAGTTGAGGATGTAGCTGATAGAGGGAAGTCAGCAAATGAACTCTGCGACGATTTTCCAACCTAGGGCGTCAACCTGAGAAGGGTTGTAGGCGTACTGCTGTAAGTCCTACAATTTTACAAGGGTAGTACATCGAAGCTCAGTTCATCAACTTGGTGTGTTGTTTTGTACATATGTTCATGTTGTATATACTGAAGTGGTATAATCTCTCATCTATCTGTTGGTAACTTTGTTTGTGTCCGGACGTCTTCCACTTGTATCATCAACCTGAGAAGGAATGTAGGCGTACTGCTGTAAGTCCTACAGCTCTTCAAGGGTAGATTGTCATGTCAGAATCCACAACATTTGATGTATTGATTGTACATATGTTTTTGTTAAATAATTGGGTGGGTTCCAATTAATGTAATTCTTGGTTAATCTTGTTTGTGTTCGGGCATTCTTCAACCTACAATCGTCAACCTGATAAGAGTTGCAGGCATACCGGTGTAAGTCCTGAGATTCTTCAAAGGAATTCCACCAAGACATGATCCGCGAGGTTGTTTGTACTATTTGCATATATGTGTGGTGTGTCATATCAATTTGTGATTTTGGATTAATTGTGTTTACTTGTTGTTTTCGTATCGTGTTGTTATTACGTAATTTTGTTAAAATTTTCGTCGTGATTACTTCTGAAGTTGTTTCGAGTCTTCTACATCCATGAATGAATTGATTGATGTCAGAGACAGCAGATGGGTCGTATACGCCGGCGAGGCTATTGCTGAGAATGACATGCATATGGAGATAATTGTTAGCTGTGATCCCACACGCCGGGGAGCGGGAGTGTGGACGACTGAGGCTTGCATAAGTCACCGTTACTAGAACTGAGGCAGAATGAGTGACAAGCAATTGCAGTGGTAATTGGTAGTGAGTAGATACGAGGACGTGCGTGGAGTATAATGAGATGGTGCTATGGTCACGTTGCATTCTGCAAGAGTCATTTTAGCAAGTGGCGATTGTGTTGCAAGATGTCAAGAGGAGGTCTCTGTCTGGAGGCGCAGGTCATCATCGATGTGTGAGATTGTGCTGTGGGTATGCTTGTGGTGTGTTGGCTTTTCTGTTTGTTTTCCATTTCAGCTCTGTCCGTGTGACCCAGGTTCTCGCAATGGCATCCAAGTCAACGTGTATTGGTCGTGAAGGAAAAAAGGGATGGATCCGTTTTTGCCGGGAGTGTCAATGGAGTTGAAGATTGAACGATCAATTCATGGATGTTTGCTTAAACCCAACGGAAGCCATCGATACTGCAATCATCGTCTCATAGTTCGCTGTTCATTGGAAGACGGCAAACTATCAGAAGTATTATAGCGATTTATTGTTACGACATTTATTTTAGACTTTGTGTACAATAACCTATTGGTTGGCTCTGTATTGGTGCAAGAATAAACGGTTCTTGAGTCACCAATTTGTTTTCTGGTTTTTTGCGTTGGTTATTGAGCATAGTTCCTGAAAGACTTCCAAGGACAGGGTGAAGTCCAGTGCAGTTACAGCTGGACATTGACACCTCTCATAAATCTCGAGAGGCTGGGAAATGCTGCAAGACGCCTTAATCTTTAGAGGAAATAAGGACACGAAATGCAAACTAAAAACTCTTTCAATCTGAGCATTTCGTAAGGTTGCACCGGTTCGCCTTGTAATTTTACGAATATCAAGAAATATGCCACGATCTTTATCCGAGAAAAGTATTTAATTATTGTTGCAAGCAAGGGAAAACCATAACACTCGGGTTGCCCAATGTCTTACAACTTGATATTTACGCTATGGATGTAATAGGTATTTATTTATTCAACCAAATTTTCATGAAGCAAATGTGTGATTGAGATGTCTGAAAAATAAAGACCTACGTTGAGTCTCAGGGTTGTAAAGGCAGTATTTCTCCAAAAGATTGAGAAAGCACTGGTCTTCAATATTTACGTGAACACGAGATTATCAGGTTCAAAACTTCGTATAGTGATTCAGTCTAAAGGTAACTTAGACAAGATACAAGGAGCTATAATTCTCGGAATTGTTAGAATTCACAAGGACTGCGTCTTCAAAGCCTATCCACTTAAGACAGAAACACTATTAATAGGTGAGCACCTAAAGTATCGTTTCGCTTCTGACCGTTCTCCCTCATCTTACTCTGCTGACCTCTATCCATTCATTCACTTATTTCGTCATCATTGATATACATACATATTTAATTTCAGATCTCATTACTGATCCAGTTTTAAATTTTTCTTCATTTCAATTCATCATTATTTACAATAATCAAATCTAATCTTGTTATTTTTCTTTTTGACTACAGCGGACGAACGATGGGTGGAAGTAATGATATGGTCCTAGCACACGGCATACTACAAACCGCAAACAGCTGTTCCCATCACTACTGCCTTTGGAATCAGGCAAAGTTACTACACTCTAGTTTCATGACAGGCTACGCACAAATAAACCAGTTAAGTTCATATAGCTGGCAGGAACGATATTGAATATTGGATGAATGTAGAACTCTGAGAAGCGGCATTTGTGCTGTGTGCGTTATACAAGGAGTTGGAGTCGTTAGGTGTTGTGTGTAACACAACTGCTTTTCTGTACAGTGTAATTTGTATAAATCAAGGTGAATAAATTTAGTCTGCAATAGTATCAAGTGTCTAATTCTATGAGGCACATCATCATTTTTGTTATAACAGAGTTTCTAGTCCATTTAGATTTAGAATTGGTTTATGGGTAGTCCCACCAACGAGTTTAAAGATGTATGCGAAAAGAATTGATAGCGTATATGATGTCTGAATATTAATGAGATATTGCATGTGTATCATTACATTCCATGTTTTATTTTCCTATTGGTTATCCATGCAGTTTGAGCCCAGTCGGTTACTTTTTTTGTGGATCTGGGATATGTGGGTAAAAACGTGGGCAGTTTTCCGTTCATATGTGGGCAAAGTGGGATAAGGTGGGCTGTTTTCGTTTGTAACATGGGCAAAGTGGGAATAAGTGGGCTGTTTTCTAAAATGACATGGGCAAACGGGGAAAAAGTGGGTATATTTTGAATTCCTGCACATGGTATAAATGGGTGAAAACGTGGGTTACGTGGGAAAACTGGGAAAAGGTGGGACAAACAAATTTTATCTGGACATGGGAAAACGGGGAAAAAGTGGGAAATGTGGCCAAAGTGGGTAAAATCGGTTGCATTTACACCATCTTTTGCCCACGTGTTTGCCGATCACAATTACCCTTTTATCCCACGTTTGCTCACGTTTGCCCATGTGCATTAACCGACTGGGAGCAATCACCACACGTTGTACTTCGTCTTGCTGAATATGTGATTTCAGCGTACGAGTTCACTCTAATTGGTGACATATTCTGCTGTAAACCTTCATCACTATGCTATTTGTTTTCGGACTAGTACTATCATAAGCAAGGTAGCATTAAACTTAAAGATATGCAGATAGGGGCATTTTCATTTTTCACTTTTTAGGATACCTAAAATATGTGGAGTAGAAGCAAAAGTAACAGATCAATTACAACTCAAAATGTATTGGTTGCCAAGTTACTTGAAAAATTGTAATCACTGGCTTCCTGGAATCATTTACAATCATCTAGTCTTTCGAGATGTTGCTGAATCACCTCTTGGGACTTTTAAGCTACCTGAAGAGTCTTCCTTTTGACTTCTGTGAATGACTAATGAAGTAGATAATTAAGGAAACTAATGCAGCTTTGTAAGATGGGTTAAGTGAACGATTCGGATGAATCAGTAGAAATTAGCTAAATTGAGTGACGAGGATATACATATACTGCAATCTTACCATTTCATCTAAACTACAAAATCGTAATTCCAACTAATAACAAGGTGACAAAGTTGTCATTTTCATAACAATTTCCTTCACTAGGCTATGTGTGCTTTCAGAATTTTTCACACCAGTGCCTTCGTTAGGTTGATCATTTTAGGTAAGGCACTAAGATAAGAACTAAGGAATTGCACTGGTCCGCCGTCTGTAAGTGAGGTCACAAAAGCTATCAGTAATTTGAAACGAGGCAAAGCGGCAGGACCCGACGGAATTATTCCGGAGGTGTTTAAATATGGGGGTGACATACTAGTTTGTAGATTAACTGAGGTACTAGGCAAAGTCTGGGAATCAGAGACAGTTCCATCAGACTGGGGTAAATCACTTATTATACCGATATTCAAGAAGGGAAACAAGTCCTCGTGTGATAATCATAGGGGGGATCAGCCTAACGAACATAGTCTCTAAAATCCTAGGCTCAGTAATCATGAATAGACTAAGCAGAACTCGGGAGGAACAGACAAGGGAGAATCAAGCAGGCTTTAGACCAGGTAGAGGGTGCATAGATCATAATTTCACCCTTCGACAGATTCTAGAACATAGACACACTTTTCGGCGTCCAACAATTGTCATATTCCTCGACTTGAAGGCGGCCTTCGACTCCGTGGATCGAAAGGTACTATGGCAATGTCTGACTGTGAAGGGAGTGCCAAGAAAGTACATTGCACTAATCAAGGCACTCTATTCAAACTCACGTAGTCGTGTAAGGGCTTATGGGGAATTGTCATCTGAATTGGTAACAACCAGTGGTGTCCGACAGGGATGTCCACTCTCCCAATTTCTGTTTAACTTCATCATAGATATGCTGATGATATAGTCCTTATAGGCGAGGACGCTGACAAAATGCAGAGTCTTCTAAACACCTTGAGCTGCAATCTTCGAATGTTTGGCATGCGACTTGCTCCTGCTGTCAAATGGAAGATGAGGCTACAGGACTGGACTAAATTGACTCCTAGCTTAGAAATAGGGATGAGGTGACAGAGCACATTGACCATTTCACTTATTTGGGAAGTTACATCAGCCCGAACGGGTTGATCACTGGCAAAATCTCAGCACGGATACAGAAGGCTGGCTTTGCACTTGCCAGTTTACGCCGTCTCTGGCGTAGACGTGATATCCGGCTATCGTCTAAGGGACGTGTGTACTGCTCATCAGTCCGCTCCGTCCTCCTTTATGGCCAGTTGTGAGACCTGGTCATTGAGAGTGGAGGACATGAAAAGACTAGCTGTCTTTAATCATAGGTGTCTGTGTTCTATCTCCCGTGTGAAGTGGTATAATAGGGTTAGAAATATTGAAGTTAGGCGTCGAGTTCTAGGTAAACAGGGGAAATCAATCGACGAAGTCGTGAGGTTACAAAGACTGAGATGGTTAGGACATGTGTCACGTATGCCAAGCCATCGCCTCCCTCGACGAGCAATTTTAGCGGATATAGGGTCAGGCTGGAAAAAAGCTAGCGGCGGTCAAACAAAAACTTGGCACCAGTCAATGAAATCCACAACAGTTGGTCTAAGCCATGTAGGAAGGTGTAGACTTCCAGGCTGGGGTCCTCGGGACGGTAAAACTCTATGGTTGGAAACAATTGGTGATATGGCTCAAAATCGTTCTCAGTGGCGCAGATGCATTCACTCCTAGTGACTTATGATCTCCAATGAAACTGTTTTGTTTTTCTTTATTACTCCTTTGTCTCACACCTCTTCTCACTGTTTCTATTATGCTTTTCTTGTACTTTCTTCTCTTTCTTCGCGTGCTACACGGAGTGTGGCGACTTGAACTTCCGCACATTTGTGCAGAGTTCTATGTCGAAAACAGACAGACAGACAGACAGACAGATAAGCTGATGGAAGTATCCTTAACTGAACGTAATGACTTAGGAATCGACTTGTTACCAGGGAATAGTCTTATGGACTTAGAATTTGCAGATGACATAGTCCTGTTAGGGGAGGATGCTGACAAAATGCAGAGTCTTCTGAACACCTTGAGCAGCAATCTTCGTATGTTTGGCATGCAATTCGCCCCTGCAAAATGTAAGATACTGCTACAGGACTGGACTACGTCAACTCCTAGCTTAGTGATAGGGAGTGAAGTGATAGAGCACGTTGACCACTTCACCTATTTGGGAAGTTGTATTAGCACCAACGGACTGATTGGCGATGAAATCTCAGCACGGATCCGAAAAGCTCGATCTGCTTTCGCTGACTTACACCACCTCTGGCGTAGGCGTGACATCCGGTTATCAACCAAGGGACGTGTGTACTACTCAGCAGTTCGCTCCTGCCTTCTCTATGGCTCTGAAACATGGCTAATACGCGTTGAAGACATGAAAAGGTTGACTGCTTTCGATCATAGATGTCTGCGATCTCTGTCTCACGTTAGGTGGTTTAACAAGGTAAGTAATGTTGACGTTAGGCGTAGAGCGTTGGGCAAAGAGGGAAAATCAATCGACGAGGCTATAAAGTTACATAGACTAAGATGGCTAGGTCACGTGCTGCGCATGCCTAACCACCGCCTCCCCCGACGGGCATTACTAACTAGCTGATATAGGTGCAGGTTGGAAAAGAGCCAGTGGTGGCCAAACAAAAACATGGCATCAATCCATGAAATCCTTGACAGTTAAACTGAGTCAGGTAGGGAGATGCAGACTCCCGGGTTGGGGCCCTCGGGACTCTAGGAATCAATGGCTGGAGACAATAGGTGAAGTGGTTCAAAATCGTTGTCAATGGCGCAGATGTATTCAGTCTCTGTAATCTTTCATATTCCTTTTGTGGTTTGTGGGGAAGTGAACTGATGCACATGTGTAAAATTCTACGTCGATGCATCAGTCAGATGTATCATTGAACATAAAGACTGACCTTAATTCAGCTATCCTGCACCTTCTCATAATAAGTGTTTGTTACGCAATTTTAAATTTGTGCTGCGACAACATGATTTATCACCTGTGCAGTATTCCACTTTGATCTGTTTACCTTGTCCATCTTACATTTTACCCACTGTTTTCAGTGTAAAATCACTATCGTATTTCACTGTAAGAATTTGATTTAGGATATTTGTATCTGACAAATCCACGAAGTAGAATGATTCTTTTTCCTGCTTAGATGACAATGAAATGGGTTATAAGTAGTAAGGCTAGAATTTCACTAAGTGTAGATTTATTTTTATGGCACTAACTTTTATTCTTTTTGTGTATCAAAGTTATCGTAATCCCAGGTTAAGTCATATCCGACCCTATATATTTTACTTGAATGGTTTGTGCATCTAGATGAGTTACAGGAAGTTCTAGTAAATTATACTCATGATATTGTGTGAATTTTCTCTCATAGGGAATGTCAGCAAAAGGCAAATCCCAAGATGAAGTCGTTTCTAGCGAAGAGGTATGTATTTTATTCAATTTACTTCAACCATTTAAAGGTGAAGAATCCAAAAACAAATTCTTTTTATGATGAAGAGAACTCTGTGAAATTGGATGGAAGCGCTCAGGATCTTCTGCAGTTCAGGGAATACTGTGAATTACTACGTGAAACAATAAGAACTACTTGGCAGCGTAAAAAGTCACAAGAAAAAGTACTTAAATGTTAGCAGCTGATTATTATACTCTTAGATTTGCTCCTCACAGTTTGCTAGTCTGATGGTGTCTTTAAAGGAGTTAAACAGAAGAACACAATTTCGAATTCGGAAGGCTCGAGAACTAACTCTAGAGGTAGTTTGCACCCGTTAAACATGTCTTATAATTTATTTTTATCATTGTAACAGAATAAAAATAAAGTGGATCAGCTACATTTGGGTCTGCAAAACCTTTTATATGAAGTCGCTCATCTTGAAAATGAAATTCAAACTTGCTTAGAATTCAGGCAAGTAATACGTTTTATTTCTCATTTACGCAAACAGATCTAGACATGAAGATATAAAACTAATTCCAGTAGATGAATTTTATGAAAAAACCGGACGTAAAGTAATTTCTTTGTTTTTGCCGTCATATTAGTTAACAGGTTGGAAGTTTGTCGGAACATCAAGAAACATTGGAACGTCTTTATTGGGAACTTGAACAAAGAAAAGCGTAATCTTCCTTGTATTACTTTCTTTATTTTATTTAAGTTTATCTGATTCGTGTGATAAATTAAAAAATTCAGTTGAATCTACATCACAAACAATTAAGAATAAACGAAACTACTTAGCAAGCTTTGGACCGAAATTAAAAGATGTCATTGAGGTAAGTTAGTCACATAGAGTTTATAAACATCTTTTTCAGAGCACTCTAATTGTGCAAGAGCTGATGGACTTACCATTCACAAAAGAAAATGAACAGTATAAATTGGCCTTCCTTTTGCCGTCACCATTGTATATCCTGTATTCGGTTTTAAAGTCATATATATCTATGTCAGGTAGGTTAGACAATTATTCTTGTTCACAAAAGAGCAGTTGATATTTATTGAATATTTATTTTATGAAAGGGTTATCCACAACTTTGGTTATTGTAGATTAGTAAAAACTTTGTTTGTAGTAGTGTGCATCTGTAAGGTTTACACTCAGGGCGTTGTTCATCAACCTAAGTTAGTAATTTGTTGTAAATTGTATGTTAGCCTTTATGTTGTTCTATCGTCTAACTAAATTGCATCATTGCACCGCAAATTACCTAGGTATTATGGTTAATCATATTCGTTTCCTTTTAGCACTGACTGCTACGTAAAATTCGCATACGTCATGAATTGCATTTATTTGGTGTAGCATAAGTGGTAGTTGAGATAATGAGAGACGTGTGTAGAGATGGACATTTTTTTATTTTGTAGATATTTCATCCTTGGCATCTTGACATGATATAGGTGACATTATGTATGTATTTACATGACAAGCTCTACATCATTATTTCCCTACACTTTTATTAGAAACAGTTAAGTCTTGACTGTGTATTCCATAATTTTCAGCGAGACTATCTGAAATATCCCTAAATTTGAAGACATATTGACGTAACGTGCTATCAATTTGTAAACTATGAATTTCTAGTGATTCCATATTTGTTTAAAAAATAAATCTTTTTTTTCAGGGAAAGAATCAGAGCTTTCTGTGTCTATTGATGGTGATTCGGAACTGGCAAGAGCTGTTAATCAGTCATTGGAACAGTCAGACTTACAGTCTTCTCCACAAGAAGCTGAGGATTCTGATATGGAAGACAGAGAAGGAAATAAGAAGCGCGTTAGTACTACTTTTTATTTGTTGTGACGACGTTAAACCTTGTTTTTTTTATTATACATTACTACTGTAGGAAGTGTTTCATGTTCGTGATGCGACAGAAATCAAGTTTTCTTAGTTTTTACTAACTCCTTATTATATAATTATTGGCTGATATATTCATTTCCCCAATACTAATATAAATCCAAATGAAGAAAATAAAAGACAATTCAGCGAAGAAAATTTTCTTTATCGACGGAATCATCTTCAAATGCTGTACAGTCGTATTTATATTTACCGAAAAATGTATAGTAGTCCATTATCTGGTAGTGGGGGTGATATAATTGATGTAATTACTTAGAAGTAGCTTCAAAAGTAGAAATAAAAGTTTTAAACTACGTAATACTCGACGGCACAAAGTTAGAAATTTTATAAGGTCAAATTTTCTATTGAGTGAGGAGAAAGGTAATTGAGTGTCAATTTAACAAGTGTTTAACTTATATTCCTTCTGTACATTTTCACACCCTCTTCACACTTGTTAAATTGACACTCAACTACCTTTCGTCTCACTCAATAGCAATCTTAACCTTATTAAATTTCTAAATTTGTGCCGTTGACTACCAGGTAATTTAGAACTTTTATTTTTTACTTCTAAAGTCACTTCTGAGTAATTATATCAATTACGTCACCTCCTACTACTCAGTAATAGACAAATATACTTTTTTGGTAAATATAAATACTACTGTACAGCTTCTGAAGATAATTTCGCCGATAAAGAAAATTTTCTTCGCTGAATTTGTCTTTTATTTTCTTCAAGTCCAAATGAGTTTAATCATTCATTGTGTCAAGACTGTTAAGTTATTTAGTGTTAGCTATCCCCTGCTGTAAGTCTAGTAGCTTTTATTTGGTACAGAGTCTGTGAACAAGTTTACGGATAACTTAAATTGATGACTTTTTAATGTAACCATAACGCACAGACATCTAACAGATACCATAAATGATTTTCTGAAGTACTGAAATTTTTCAGTAATCATTTAGTTGGAGGATAAAAGGAGGCATTAACATCAAGAGTGGACATGTTGTGCAGTTAAAAGCTCTATTCGTGTATAAGTAGCGTTAGCAAGTATTAACATGATTAATTAACTGTAGGATTCTGGAACTTGACAATATATACTGCATTAGTTGAATGGTGGAAGTGTTAATATTAATAGAGAGTAGCTGAAAAACCAGGAGGTTGTTAAGCGTAGAGTGGAATAAAATACTGTAGATATGGTGGTGAGATAAGAATTAGATTCCTCTTAGGTTCAACATAAGTATGTCTGTCTATCTGCCAGTTATTCAGTCAATATAGATTTCATGTGGTACCATATCAGAATTTATAATTAGATAATGTGATGATATTTATGGCAAGTTACTGTGCCTAAGAAATTAACGTAAAACGCGATTTTAATTTCCCTGAAACTATAAAAATAAAGGATGCGAAATGAGTCGAAATAATTTCATCGATTGTTTTGTAAGTACCAGAGCTTCAAACATGTTGAACTAAAATTGAAGTTTGTAGAATATTTGTGGTTCAGCAAAAATAACCGGTTTATTGACTTCGATTTTTTGGCATTCGATTTTCAACCAGTAAGTTTCGGGTTCAAGACGCACTCCATCTACTTTAGCCTCGACAACTAAGTGGTGTCGTCAACCTACCTACACATAGTATTTGTGTGACTCATAGCCTGGCATATGAAAGATATGTTACAGGTTAGTGAATCAAAACAGTCCAACAAAAGTGTTACAGTGGTTGAAAAGAAGCAATTGTTGCTGGACTTTTCCAGGTAACAATAGAACGCGAACCCAAATTCTTTGTGTATTAGTATTAATCATTAAGTATAACTCTGAAGGGACTGATTTTCCCTGAGAAATTTGAACATACATCAGCCAGTAGTGCAGTCAGAGACGTTATCTTTGAGCTATTACTATTCCTAGCCTAATTTAAAAACGAACGAATATAGTTTGAATCTGAAGTGTGAATGAACAGGAAGTCTTCTAATTCTTTCCGTCTTCTTATTCATCTTGTATTTTGTATAGTTACCCATTAATTTAATTTATTCTACTATATTCTTTCATATATTATTATTATTCCCTTGAGGTCCGAGTGGAACATAGGGATTCAAAAGCACATCTCCACTTTCTTCTGTTTTCTGCCATCCTCTTCAGCTGGGTCCACGATTGTCCAAACTATCATCTCTTCCTCACATGATCTCCTCAATGTCACCCTAGGATGACCCACTCGTCGCTCCCCAATGTGATTGCACTCGAAGAATGACCTGCACTGGGCGAATTGTCAGTCGACGGCCTTCTCAACGTATGCCCAATCCATCTCCACTTTCTTCTGCCTCTTTCTTGAGCGATCGGTTCTTGGTTGGCTTATTCCCGGTCAGAGTTTCTTGTTGCTAATTCTTTCTGGCCAGTTGGCCATTTGATCTTCAGTATGGAGCCAGAGAAGGTGGCAGCTGCTGGTAAAAGTCTGCCACCTGTTGGAAATCCTTTTCGCGACACGCAGTGCAAGTTTCTGACCTATATAGAAAGACCGACTTCACATTTATGTTGAAAATTCAAATCTTGTTCTTTATACTACGGAGTGCAGAAAATTTCCAAACTGGTTTCAGGTTGATGAAGGCGTATCTCGCCTGTCCGATCCTGACTGGCTTTGATATCTTCATCCGTTACGACTGCCTATAGTTAAGACGATGCCTCCTCCGTTAAATCTCTCCCGTTGGTAGTGATTGGTGCTGGTTGTTGTTGTTATTTCTGTTCGTTGGTTATCTTCATCACCTCCTTCTCTGTGTTCACTTGGAGTCCTATCTTAGCTGCTTCCTCAGTCAGTGTGTTGGTTTTCGCCTGACTCCAAGTCTTCGACCTTCTGCTACATTAAACATCACTCATCCTTTGTGAAGTCCAGATCTCGGAGAGTTTTCTGACCGGTCCAGCGTACTCCTGTCTCCTCGCTCCCCATAGTCTAACGCATAATCCAGTCCACCACAATTAGTAATATCATCAGTGATAATAGACAACCCCGTCTTACTCCTGTGTTCGATTAGAACGCCTCGCCGAGTTTTCTGTTGTGGATCACCTGACACGTGCCACTGCCATATATCTGTTGAATGAGGTTGATAAAGACTTGTGCTGTGCGTGCTGTTGGTGGTATTTCTGGGCGAGTTGCCGATGGTGGTCGATTTGAGAGTTCTTTAAAGTGATCAGCTCATTGTTTTATTTGTTCCTCCTCCTTAGTGATCAGGTTCCCTTGAGCATCTTTTATTGGTTTCATCATCTGGGTTGATGTTTTTCTGGATGAAGACTGAGTTGTTTGATATAATGTCCTGAGATCTCTTTCGCCTGCGGCTTGTTCTGCTTCAGGTGACGGTCAGTGTGTTTTAGAATCGTCTTTTTTCTTTCCTAGCACTCTTCTTTACTGCTTTATTTGGTGCAGTTTACATTGAACTCAGCTTCTCCTTCTGTTGTCCATCTTTCCATTGAATCATCTTTTCTTTCGTCATAGCTAATGGTTACAGGTGTGGAATCGGGTAAGCGCTTCCGCGAGACTTACAGGATAGACTGATGATATATAGCAAATCATGCTGAAATATAATGCAGTTGTTTGATATATTGCTTACCCACATATTGATTTATTTTTTTAATTTTTTTTTTGATTAGAGATTGATTCCACACCGTATTTTTGGTACAGTATGGAATTTTCAGCATGGATATCGGTAGCCCAAATTTTGAAGGCCGACCATAGATATCAGGTGTGCGTCGGCAGGGGATCGAACCTCGGACCATGTGCATGGTCGGCGAGAGTCCTAACCACTGTGCCACCGACATACGTTGCATCGTAGGTGATAAATGACCTGCTGGCATGATAATATGTGGTTATAAATACTTTGTACTTCAACGTACTTTTTGAAGTGGAGGTGAAATGTTTCATTGCTCGTGCTCCTTTTGGAAACCTGCTTATAATGCTCAACATTAGAAAATCGAGCGGAAGGGTGATATATTCAGCTTTCTTCAATAGTTCCTTACCGCAAACAAACTAGTTACCGATAAATCATGAATCTAAGATGCGCGACCATAAAAAGCGCTGATATCAGTCGGCATCCACTCAAATTTTGGAGTATTTATTTCGTACATTATTCGTTTATGCAGCGGCTTACTACTTCAGAAGCGCAACTCATTAGGAGGAAAAACTGAAAGCAGTTTAAAAACGGGGATTCTAGTCCAGCTGTTTATTGATTTGCTGTGTACTTCCTGGCTGTAGAAACCCTCAGAAGTGTTTTGAGCTAATACTTCTCCTGTGTATCATATCTAGGGACGCACTACTTCCACGAATGGTGGTTTTTGCTTTTGTAATTCCCCTTATGAGAGTACAACTTAATCGAGGTATCTATGTTGGGTAGGTTATAAGAAGGTATTTGGTAACGCTTTCATCCAGATATTCCAAGCATCTGCATAAAACTCACGAGCATCCATTTTTCCATTGAATCATCGTTTCTTTCACCATTCTCCTCTCTTCGACTGGCGTCCAGGTATCCGTTGATAGCCATTCCTTGTCTTGTGTCTTCATTTTTCCTAGAACATTTGTACACGTTTCCTTGAACATCACCTTCAGAGAGTTTCAGTGTTCTTACACATTTTCTATCTCAGTGATCCCACGAAGTGTCTCCGACTTTGCTCTTATCTGATCTGTAGTGAAGGAATGCTTATATAGTTTTGTCCTCCAGTTTCTGAATGTTTAACTTGAGTTGTTGCCTGTTTGCAGTTGTTCTGAAGGATTTGAGCTTCACCTTGAAAGTTCCTAGAACTAGATGATGGTCTGAGCCCACATCTGCTTTCCATTTCGACTTTTTGTCCAGCAGACTGGCTGCGTCTCCACTTTCTTGAGCGGCACTGCGATGAAATCTATTTGGTTTGTGGTGTTTCCTTCAGGCGAGACCCATGTTGCTTAATGTGTACCTTTTGCTTGTACACGCTTCCTCCGATCACCAAATCATTGAAAGCACAGGAGTCAGCGAATAATTCTCCATTCTCATTCATTTCTCCGAGAGCCTCTCGACCCATGATGAGTTCTCTTCCTGTATTATCTACTCCCATTTTGGCATTCATATCGCCGATGAAGATTTTGATGTTGCCATTTGAGGTGTTGTTCATTACTGTTTGTAGTTGTCTGTAAAAATCCTGCTCTTTTTCTTATTCCGGGTTGCTTGTAGAACTGTGTGTTGCATTGGATGATTGTAACCTTCCTTCCTTTAGAGTTGAATCTTGCTGTCATGATCCTGGATGAAATTGGTTCCCACTGCATTAGGGCTTTGGCTGCCACTGGTGACATCATGATAGCCAGTCTCTCAGTGTGTTCGTAGTTGTCGTCTGGGTGATCAAAACGGAGTTGAATATTGACTGTCCCGCTGACAATGTTGTGAATCCACGTTCATTTCGTCTGCTTTCGCAGATACCCAGTACTTCTAAGCCATATTTTCACATTTTGCTGGCTACTTGGATAGTCTTCCCAGTCTCGTGCATTTTACGGACATTCCACGTTCCCATCCTTTTTCCTGCTTTCATCGAGAGAAGACATCGCCTGGCTGACTGGCTTCTTGAAGGCTTTCACAGGTCGCATCATTTCGCCTCCGATTCGAGCGAAGAATAAAAACGTTCTTTGAGTTTCTTGTATTTTTGATATATTTTCTGCGCGTTGAAGTTTATCTAATGGTTTGATAGATTTAGTGGTGTGAGGTTGCTAGCCCTACGCCCAACCTTCCTTCTTTACCTGGTCTTGGAACCGGGTAGAAAACTAGCAAGTCAGTTAATTGGACCAGGTTTGATGCCCCTAGAGAGAATTTTTAAATATACCAGTATTTTTCACTTTGAAACTCAGTAGACGAGTAAATCTTTAATGCTAGGTTTCTCGTAGAATTTCTTTCCAATTAAATCGCCGTTAATACTGTTATTATTATTACTCAACTGTTTTTACCAGAAAAAGAAGCGTCATACGGGAGAAGATCTAGATGAGATGGATAAAGAATCCACAACGGAGAAAACAATTAATCTGCATCCATTAACAGTTTCTTTGACAGTTAGCATTCCTAAAAAATCAGGTGAGACTATGTTTTCTGTTTTACTTAGCCATTATATATATATATATATATATATATATATATATATATATATATATATATATATATATATTGTTGACGGTAGTTTAGGGGTAAAATGTTCGCCGAAGACGCAAGTGAGCCGAATTTTGATTACTAACTAATTTATTTGCCAATAGTAAGCCCAGAAAAAAGGGAAAGTTGAGTGTAGGGCTAGCAACCCCATTCAGACTCAGAAACGAGTTCCAAGAAATAATAAGATCTATACAAGTGTGTAGAAAAGATTTAAATATTTTTCATTATTGTGGGTTTACCTCTCTCAACGGAAATCTTGAAGCATTGCACGGTACTCCCCTTTATTATTCCACTTATCTCAACCCATATTATCTACACTACGACCTATTATTATTACTATTCTGCTTTTATGACTGCACCGAATGACCAACGGGACTTAGGTCAAACTCTATTCACGGCAGCAATACAGTCCTAACATACTGCATACTACAAACCACATCTCGACCAATCCCCGCACCACTCCTCCTGGAGTCTACCAGAGCTAAAGCAGTCGAGTGGCGGCACTTACTACGCAGAAGCTCACCGAAGATCTGGAACCTCTACCTCACAATCAAGAAGCGAGCTCAAAGAAATTACTGGTTTATACTAGCTCGTAATCAGGATATTGGATATTGGATACTGGTTTATCGCAGAGAGGGTCTTATAAATTTGTACGTTATAGTATTTCGCTGAGATGTCTGATGATGATACCACTGATGGGCCTCATGTATTGTCAGAGTCGGAAGCACAAGATGTACAACATTTACAGGAGATAGCAGGAGGAATAGGATACGTTGATGCTTTAAAGCTTTTGGAAGAAAGTTCTTGGAATTTAGAGGTGCGTACCAAAGCCTAATATTTAATTTCAAGCGTGCTGTTCATAAATTAATGGGATTTGAAGAGTCGAGTGCTAGACATCGGAGCAACAACTCGCGAGTGCCTTCTGTCCCTCACGTATGTAGCATTAATTCCAAGTTATTCCCTAGGTCGAATTAGTTCCACCCAATCAGCGAGTATTAAGAGCACGAGATAGTGCTCATAGTTGGCTATAGTCTACAGTCATTAGGCATCTGCTTGCATTCTGTCAATAGACAGAACTGATAAGGCAAAGTGTATCAATTTTAATATCTAACGTGGACATTAGCATGCGTGATGGTTATTTACTCTGATAAGCTGCATACAACGGATGGAGAAAACTCTATAGTGAATGACAGTGTTATTCTAGTCTTTTTTTCACTTTTTGTTCATGATACTGGACATGAATAAGACGTAAGTTATAGCAAGCGAAGAATGTTTAGTATTCATTTCAGTAAAGAACATTCATGGCATACTGGATCTTACACGACTGTAGACCAGGTCTACTTATATTATCTGGCTACGCATTTTTCGTTATTTTAAACGTATTCCGAACCCGCACCTGAGATAGTGAAGCATAGATTTACTTGGATTGGTTTTTATTCTGAGATGTCAGTACCTGAACATACATAATTTTCTCATGCTTACTACGCATCTTAGCCACAATTCCAAGTTGTAGAGTACACTCCACGCATCACTTCTCATATTTACTGGTGATTTTTATTCTATGGGAAATGTTTACCTGATTTTCATGTGTACTGAATAACTTGTTGATTAGTTTTCTGGGACATTATTAGCTTATTTCTTTGAAGCAGCATTGTGCAGTGAGGAAACTTAGTAGATCTTACAGTATTAATTTTAAAGGCAAAAACCTCAGATTAAATCTTTTTAGGTTTTAATTTCAAGTGTTTGGAGGTTTGCATTTTTATAGTGTCTATATTCTACACACGTCGGGATGTAATTTATCAGATTTTCTTATATTCATTTTTGCTATTCAGAATCGTTTAGGCATTTTTGTTTTTTTTGCAATGGTCTTACATCAATTGAAAGTTATGTATAGCTTATAAATTTTATTAGATAATTGTAGGAAAAACTGTATTTATCTTTTTCTTTGTAGATATACCAGTAACTGAGAATGGCTTTAGTGTAAATTTGTCTTTTGCCTGGATTCTGGATTTGCATTTAGTAACAGTTAGGTTACAGTTCCCTCAAGATAAATCTACTCCACTTTTGCGATCAAAAACTGGAAAGTAAGTTTATTCGTTTGTTTTGAACAGTATGTTCATCTTTCTTGATATTCTTATTTTGTTAATAGTTTCTACTTACAGACTGAAGATAATTTTATGTTCAATTTAATATAGTATATTGAGATTCTCTTGAGAAACAAAATGTTATTGATTTTTGTTTACAGCTTGATTCCACACCGTATTTTTGGTACAGGTATGGAATTTTCAGCATGTGATATCGGTAGCCAAGGTTTTGAAGGCCGACCATAGATATCGGGTGTGCATCGGCAGGGGATCGAACCTCGGACCATGTGCATGGCCGGCGAGAGTCCTAACCACTGTGCCACCGACGCACAAAAAAGGCGTCGCGCCCCGTGACCCCCATTGTGATGATACTAGATTGTATTCGCTGCAGTATTGTATCATTTAGTGAAATAGCCACAGTAGAACTTTGATAAGGAGATAGTCCACTAGTTACTACTGTGTAATTTTTGTATTGTACCTAAAGGAAAATTCTATGCTTTCCACAGTGCATTGCATATATATAGATATATTTTATTGACTTGTTAAACTTTCTGATCCCAAAACTTTTATCGTTAGGAGCGAATTCCCTCATTTTTGTCTTTCGAGTATACTGTCTCATAGCATAAGTGAGTCAGAAGACAAGGGTCAGACAACAGATCGTTTATTGATAAAATCAACAGATGGTTATAGATTTTTATGTACATTATTATTCGTTATTGCTATCAGAAAAGCAACGTCTTCCAATTAGTTGTTTTCTTGCTGAAGGTTATTATTCTGTACTGCTTGTGATCGTTTCTTACAGAGTTATCTATATATCTGCGAATTGTATTTGCACACGTTAAGTTTGCTGTGATTGGTTGTTGAGTTCCTCAAGGTTAAGCTTTGTTATTGTTTTTCTCATGACCCCTATTGGGGACGTAAACTTGGCAACTAGTTTCAAGCACACTTTAGGAAGCTTTTTCTTCACTTTAATGGTTGTTTTGACAGCTTAATTAAAGGAGTTGGATAACAATAGGCACCACCGGGAGTGACCTTGAATGAACAGTCGGAATGCTGAAACTCAAAATTGTTTGCATCTACTCAATGAATAGGGTGGCGAATCATAACCTAGCCTTAGTTCAACCCTAACTCGTAATCCTAGCGAATTTCTGAGTTTTACCGTTCTTTTATTTTAATTAGTTATTCAAGATGATAACTGCTACAGTTTAAATTGGAGCACACTTTTGCCGGCGAAGCGGTATATATTTGTGTCAATAATAAATAATCCTGAATTGTTGTAAAATTCCTCCAGTGTTAAGTTCAACAGCTTCTGGTAGATACTTAATTGATGGTTGTTATATTATTTGTAGTTAAAAGAAACCTGGATAGGAAGTTGGAGTCCGCTTGAAAAATGTATAGAAAGTTTTAGTGACAATAATGAAAATTAGTCTGTATTATGTTATTATTATTCCCATGGGTTCCTAGTGGAACGTAGTATGCTAGCAGACTGAACTACCGTATTAATAACTGAATGAATTTTAAAAATGTTAGTTTTTGCTTCGACTTGACGAATTTGATGAGTCAATAGTCAGTGTGAAAGACAGCTTTGGCTGAAGTTAGTTTCACCCCCAAGTGTAGGAAGTAAACAGGCGTTAGGGATAGTATCACTTACCGAAGAGTAAATGTAACTAGTCAAATGGCTTGTTGATTAAAGGTTGAATTTCGCAATGGGGCAATTATAACTAACTGTTGGTGAATATTTATTATTCAAGCAGATGAAACATAAGTTACATTAATGTCTAGTGATCCTTTTCACTGGCATTTAGTTGTGGTACTATCTGCTTAATATTTCTATCTATTACGTTATGCTAATTTGTTCTAAGATATTTACCTTTGTTATTCTTCTTTTAGCGATCTGCTTAATTCTGAACAACTCTTGTCTAATTTGTCATCGTCTTGTGATCAGTTTGGCTTTGGTGACTTTAGTTCTGACATGCCTATTTTATTCCTACCTGACTCACAAAAATCTCTTTCATGGAATGCATGTGAATCTATTGGACGACCATATTCCTGGGCTCAACAACTTTCAGGAATAAATTGCTTTCCAGATCGGCTGCCTGATAATAAATCTGATGAGCAGTCTTCATCATTGAAATCTAGTGAAACGGAGCATTTTGGTGAAATTGAAAAGTGGATTAAATCACTTCAGTCACGTATTATTGATAGATTGTATCTTATTGAAGAAGTGAGTATTTATTTCTTTCGAATTACTATTGGTCATTATTCTTTACTTTTATTTCAGTTGATCTTTGTCTGTCACTTTTAAAGTTTAGACAAAACAAAGGTCTAGAAATAGATCACTAGTAGACGTTATATTTTGAAACTTTGACCACTAGACCTTGTACCTATTTGTGATTCAATATCTTGTAGTAAAAAGTACGCAAAAATAATGTAACCTTGTTAGGTTTTGTTTGGAAATCCAGATCGTTTGGAGCACGAATTGTTTTCTTTGGGTCGTTATAAGGAGCTTTCAACTACTCAGTGGTACATTTCGGGCAGTGAACTCATTTTTATATTATCACATATTTTAAATAGAACAAACACCTTGACATAATAAGGTTGAATACTTTGGTTGGAATGTCTGCACAGTTCATTTCAGAATTAATAAAGCTAATCTGTCCTTATGAATATTAGCCTATGAACTAACATATCTTATGTCATCTATGATGTTCAGAAAGCTTTCACGAACTCAGTTAACAGTAGGACATGAATCACTGTGAGCTGGCTCAAGTTACCTCACTGCATACCATTTACATCAATTAGGTATTATGAAAAAATACTGAGGGTTAGAAATCATACAATCAAAGGTAGAATACTAGCGGCGAAACGATTAAACAGATAAGTCTTTTCATTCCTTCCATTAAGAATGAAACATGGAACTTCAAGCTTTTGAAGTTTGAATGAATGTTCCACTCTAGACGCAAAGGGATTATATATATATATATATATATATATATATATATATATATATATATATATATATATATAGACTTCCAGATAAGAAAATGCAGTAAATAAATGCCCCTTTGCGATTGCTACTAGCATGTTTGTTGAAAAGATATTGACTGTATTTAAAAAATCCAGGAATTTGTTTTATAGATATACATCACGGCTCAAAAATAGGCTCTGTGTTGTGGGATTTCTTGCAGGTTGTTTGCAATTATGTTTATTCTTATTTTTAAAACCATCTTGGGATATTTCAGCATAGACTTTTTATTGAATTTAATCTGCCCGACTACAACTGATAATGCTTCATTGTTTACACGTGTAATGCTGGTTGAAAATCTCAGACTAATGTGAACAGCGACTACTTTATGGCTGAATAGCTCCTGTAAAAAGAAAACACCGTTAGATTTCGCAAATCCAAGTTTGACGCCTTTAGTATTTCTTTAACTTGAATCAAGGCAACTACGCATTGAGAGACGAGTTAGTTTAGTTTATTTTATTACGATAGATTTTATTTTTATCATAATATCTTCCTCCTTTTCACGTATTTTTTATTCTGTACAATGAAGTGAATTATCTTTGCTTTAATGTTGTCTTTCTAACTGTTTATTCCTGCTTTTTATTATCATAGCTTGCAGAAATTGAACGCTCCAACTTGGTCTTATCACCTGAACAACAGCAACTAATTCCTTCTGAAATTGATTTAGGTATTATTAAATGGAAAAACTCAAACTATGATGCATTACAGGTAATTATTGTTTCGGTAAACTATACCTAAAAATATTATTATACGTATTAATGATTAGATGTTTAATTTTTGTGTCTACAGAGAATGTGAAGTTATAGTGCCGTTTGTCGATTATAGAAAGTGCCCATTATTTATTTATGCATAATAAGTCTTTGGAAAAATTCCATTAAGATGATAGGATTTCATCATGACCTGAAATTGGTTAGAGAAACCATTGGAAAACCTGGCAGTACTGGACAGTTTTTTCGTCCTAGTTTGGGACTCTTCAGCAGCACGCACCCACCGGGGGTCGAACCCAGGACCTTCTGGTTACTGGGACCCGATCCAATGGCCCATGAATTCTAACTTCTGCGAATTCACGGCATAGCGCTACCACTAGCCAATGTCTTCGGCAAGTATTTGTCCTCACACCCGACCTGCTGCAACTTACTGGTCACGACTTTATTATAGTAGTGTAATACACTTTTCTTCTCGATACATATCTGCATTACTGCTATGGTGCTTGTTACGAAGGTGATTGAGTCTTAGAACGATGAGTGATGCTTGAATCTTGAAAAGACGAATGAACCAAGAATTTAGGCTTTATTCATTTTACAATGAAGCCGGAATGGCTTAAACATATAAAGGAAAAAAGAGTGTTAATAGCGGTAGAGATATGAATATGACTAGATACGTATTATAAGAAAAGTTCACAACAGTGCTAATCTTGAAGGTTGTTGATTTAAATTATACGGCATTCTTTGCATCATACATAATAATATGACTCAACCATGTAGTTGGAAATTATCCACACTTATTGTATGTGAGGGCTAGAGATACTACCTGAACCTTCATAGGTGATGTGAAAGTGAAACACTTATGACTTGTTTGTTAGAAATTGAGCACATAGGCCACAGCTCATTTTTTTATCTACCCTAATCGTTCTTTTTGTTTGTAAACTTGAAGAACAACTCGAATGTAGTGGTGCAAAACAAGTGATATAAAAATTTTTATAATATGAATAGCAATAACAGTTAATATTATTACTATATTTAAACAAACGGATTACCGATAACATCCTTGGGTACATCATAGTCGCATGTGGACAATTATCTCTATAGATTTAAGTGTAGAAACGAATAAAATATGAGTTAGCAGAAATTCAAGGAGTAATAACGACTTTCTAAAATAGCAGTCAGTCATTCGGCTAACTTATTGACAAAAATCCAAGCAACCAATAAACACGAAAAGGAATCATCATTAATCTTGAAGTCAGAGAATACGTCATTTAGACGATAATCAAGATAGCGCTTTAAATCTTTGATAAATAAGTTGCTGAGATCTCATCTATCATGTGTAAATCGGTTATGATAAATGATATTGTGTTCTTGGATGGAGAGATTCTCATGTGTGGTATCTGGTGAGGGTTTACAGTGATAATATTTTTTAGATTGACCAATGCCAAAATATATCATGGATGTTGACTTGTGATTACTTCATTTTACCACTGTAATAATAATCTCAGTATAAGAAGTGTTTCACGAAAGAAAATATAAGAGATATTTTCATCCACTTTATAATACGATCGTATTATAATATGTAGTGATGTAAGTCACATGGGTCTAGGCACGCGATTTTGAGTCATTGGTTGATGGATTCGAATCCATCTTCACCAACTTCAATCTTGGCAACCGGTTAGTATCAAAATCCCTCAAACAATGTGTGTGTCTGTTATCCTGGTTCAAAAAAGACCTGTTCCGGATGCCCAAGATCAAATACAGTATTATAATATCGTTTTCACTTACTCCCACTACAAATTAGACCATAATTTTTTGTGAAGAATAATCTTTTGATGGCATATAGCCGCATTGTCACCGTGAAATTCAAACTTATCTGCCATCATACTATTTTAAGCTTAATCCTTTAATTATGCTTTTAAAATTTAGCTGCATTTTTGATAAATCTATATCTCCATCATGTACAGTTTTGGAGTTGAAAGGTGAATCTTGTCCTTCCTGTTACTACTGCTTTGATTAGATAATAGTCTCCGGGCCAGTCACTAGTGCGCATCAGACTGGCCCTATTCAGGCAGTTAACCTAGGGTTCTAGTGGGACCAGTAATAATAATAATAATGATTTACTTTATTCCAAAAACAGTACTTGTGATACAGAATGGAATTTTCAGCATTAATCACAATATTGCATCTAATTTCCTCAAATTATAAATAAAAATTAATCACACAGAAAATTTTCCACATTTACAATAGAGGTAGTGTCAAAAACATGCAGCATATAAAATGGAAATAGCAATAATAATGATAACAGCTAGGGTAATAATAATAAGAATACAAGTGAAAATTGCCGTTGGCTTGTGTCACACAGTATTGGCAATGTGGTATAGAAATCCTAACATGTTTAAAAATATTGAATATAATGTTCTCTTTACATGATATGGTGAGGGGAAAAACAAAGATTACAGCCGTCATGGAGATAAGTTGGTGTTTGCAATTATGAGAGTAAAACAAAGAAGTAACAGGACCATAAATATAATAGAAGTAATAAAAGTAAAACTTGAAGGTATATAAGGATGGATGGAGGAAATTGTTTATTTACTAGATGAAAAAAGGTTAGTTAATTCTTGCCTGACACTATTTTCATCACATAAAATACGTGCCAAGTATGGTATCATAGAATTTCTATACTTAGACGTGCGAGCATACAGTTTTCTGAAGTTACTCCTTGTTCTACCTGAGGAGATGCAAGGTGAAAGCTGAGGGTAAAGCGGATGCTCCAAGTCAGACAAAATCCCTTTAGCAAATTTATTGCACGAAGTCAAGTGCCTATCGACAACGACGTTAACTATGTGGTCCACTGGGACACCACTCACCCTACTGACAGTCTTCAGTATTCTACGAATTGTGACATAGTCCTTTTTAAGCAAACCAGGAAAGAATAAGGGTGAACAATAAAGAAGAATAGGTAGGATGCAAGAGTTTATGAACTGTAAGAGGAGGGGTTGAGTTATACCCGAGTGTCTTAACTTCTTAATGTAAAATGTCAGGCGGAATATTTTACTGGAGATTGCTAAGACATGGGAAGACCAGGAGAGATCAGAAGAGAGAATGAGTCCAAGATACTTAATTTCTGATTTGATTCCTATATCATTGTCGTCAATTTTACAAGTGTCATGAGAATCGATGACTTCTTTTAACTGTCGTTTACATCTTAAGCTGAAATCAACAGTTTGACACTTAGAAGGATTCAGTTTAAGACCGTTAGACTCAGACCATTTGCTGACTTCCGATAGAAAGCTATTTATTTTAGTACAATCTAGCTGGGAGTTAACAGCCATTGAAACCGTTAAATCATCAGCATACTTCACAAAGTTTATTTCATCAGAGTGAGGCAAGTCATGCAAGAAGAAAGAAAAAAGAAAAGGAGAAAGAACAGCACCTTGAGGGACACCAGCTTCAGTAGGCAATGAAGTGGAAGACTTCCCTTTATATACGGTGTACTGCTTTCTATCTGAGAAATAGGAATGTAACCAGTTAACAGCCCAACATTCTGTTTGACTAGCAGCAAGTTTATTTAATAAGATGTCCCTAGGGACCGAGTCGAAAGCAGATGTATAGTCTAGGAAGGCGCAACGAACAAATTTAGCCCCCTTGTCTAGACTGGAAGCAATGTTATGATATAAGACGGCAGCTGCATCTAAAGTGCTTCTACTGTGCTTATAGGCAAATTGTTTAGGGTCATTAAAGGATTTAAGCGAAGGTACAAGACTAAGTAAAAGTAATTTCTCCATAGTTTTCAAAAAAGGAGAGGTAATAGCAATGGGTCTAAATTTGACACATGCTCCAGTGGATGATTTAGGTATGGGTACAACTTTAATGTCCTTCCAAACGGCAGGCACAATATTATCGGAAAAAGATTTGTTAAATAGATCAGTAAGAGGGTGACACAGAATATCAGAACATTTTTTAAAAATAATACTAGGTACATAATCGGGACCTAAGCTCTGGGAAGGGTTTAGAGACTTGAGGCACTTTTGAACATCATTTGTGTTAAAACCTGGAAAGGGGCTATTATTAACACAAGTGATGCTGGGAAGCATGGCATTTGAGGGAGAGTAAATAAAAGATTTGTTAAGAGTACATACATCAAAAGAATATGGAATATTGTTTATCTGCTTACCACCAGTGATTTCCTTAAATAGTTTCCACATATTAGAAGGATTTTTGCAGGATATGAATTTCTGGTTATATATTACATTCAACCTCTGCATTTCAGACTTAATTAAGAAGTTAGTTCTTTTTACACCACTTTTATCTTTCATCTTATACAGTTTTTCCTTCTCTCTACGAAGCTTTTTAAGTTGAGGCGAGGAGAAACGGTCAAATTTGACGAATAGTGTTTCTTTTGGACAACAGATTTCAAAACAGAATTTCAGATAGGATGTAATATTAGAGATATTGTCATCAAGTGAATCATCATTAAACAAATCCCATCTTGTGTCACTGAGCATGTTTCTAAGATGATGTACGTTCTCATTTGAGTAGCATCTGTGAACAACTTTCTTAGACAAGTTTGAGAGGGCTTTACTGTGTAACTTTCCGTAAATTTTGGGTAAGACTCGTACAATACAATGATCAGAATTGAAGAGCGGGGCTCTTTTACGAGCTTCGTATATTCCAGAATCATTTACAAATACTAAATCAAGTGAAGTATTTTGTCGAGTTGGGAAATTAACAACATTTGCATGGCCCAGCAATGTAATAAAACTGCAGTCGCTGGAGTTGAAGTCGCCGGTCACTATAGATAAGGAGTTACCAAACGAAGCAGCAGCAAAAATAGTGAATTCATCAGCGAAGATAGATAGTTCTGAGGGACTGCAACAAGGTGTGATATAGATATTTGTGACAAAAATGAAGCTATACTTAGGTAAGTGTTTAGGTCGACATTTTACAGTTATACAGTCAATATTGTCATTTGAGAATTTGAAGCAGACGTTGTTGGCAGTAGACCACTGAGAATTAATAAAAGTGGCAACACCACCACCTCTCTTCTTCTTTGAGCTGCATCGGTCTTGTCTGTAGATTGTGAACCCACTTAAGGAGACTAAATTATCGTCATATGAATCATGGAGCCAAGTCTCTTGAAGAGTGATTACACCAGTATTACAATATACATTTGAGTATAATAGAGAATGCAAGTAGTTAATCTTGTTCGATAATGACCTGCAATTTGTGCTCATAATCACAGGAACAGTCATCTGATGCATTGGAGTACACTTTAATGATCTCTGCCAACCTCCATGATGCTTTTTCTTAACGTTATTATATACTCGTAAATCAACAGGTTGAAAACATTTTAAATAATCGCGAGAGTAAGTAATGCGACTTGGATACATAATTGAATAATTAAAACAAAATAAATCCGAGGAAATAGATGCAATATGTAGGATGGAAATTTTGGTAGCCCAAGATTTAAGCAGGCCGCCTCTTTATGTAGGGTATAGCAGGTCGAAGATGAGGCAGTAACTCATCGAAGAATACATTGCGAAATGGTCGTGCTATGTCGTGAATTGGCAGAAGCTAGAATTCATGGACTGGCCGTCGGATCAGGTCCCAGTAGCCGGATGGTCTACGAGCTCGCTAGCCTTGTAACCAGAAGGTCCTGGTTTCGAGCTCCAGCGGTAGGTGCGTGTTGATGGAGAAGATTCCCAAACTAGGACGAAACAGTTGGCCGTCCAGTACTCCCAGGTTTTCCAGTGGCTCTCTAATTGATGTCAGCTCATGATAAAATTCATCCATGCAATCAAACAAAATCCCTACAAAACCAATACTTGAACATTTCAATATGTGTTTATAAATTCACTTTCTCCTTTGGAGCTAGTTATATTGGCCGCACAAATACACACTTTCCAAATGCATCTGCGAACATTATCCGGCATCGTCAGCAAAAGGACAATGCAAGCCAGTTACAGTTCTCGAGCACTTGGTGAACTCAAGCCACGCAGCTACACCAGAGTCATCTTTCAAGATTATCTGCAGGGTGAGGCCGAATGGTACTGAGGATGTCAGGCATTTGTGCATGGCGGAGGCGTCGGCAATTCATCAATACAACCCCAAACTCTGTATACATGAAAAGTTTGTTCAGTTTCTTATTCTAGCGTGGTCTTAATTTCTTTACTAGTCGTCCCTTGCACATTTTATTTTTAACGATTACTTTGCTTTCACTTTAATAATTGGTTCATTATTATCCCTCTCACATGTTCCTTTCGTACGTTTTTTCCACCCTCTTCACGCTTGTTAAATGGTAACGTAACTACCTTTCTCCTCACTCAATAGAAAATTTAACCTTATCAAATTTATAACTTTGTGCCGTCGAGTATTACGTAGTTTAAAACTTTTATTTCTACTTTTGAAGCTACTTCTAAGTAATTACATCAATTATATCACCCCTACTACTAGATAATGGACTACTATACATTTTTTGATAGGTATATATACGACTGTACAGCGTTTGAAGATGATTTCGTCGATAAAGAAAATTTTCTTCGCTGAATTGTCTTTTATTTTCTTCATGACTCAATGGGTGTTTTCGGTGATTTGAATAATAATACTTGTTAATGATTATTATTATTATTATTGGTGACAGAAAATTAACTCTTTTACACTCTTTTTTTGTTTACAGTTTGTTCCTCGTGCTCAGGTTATGGTATCTTTAAATCTGGTCCGCCCTGAAGATGCAATTTTCCAATGTTATTTTGGAAAAAGTGAACATTGTAGGTTACTTGTGATACAGTATACTTTTTCAAAATATTTATGACGAAGAATAACTTAGCAATGTAAACTAAATGAAATAGAATTGTAAATTACACGACATTTAGAAAACAGAAAGATTGAGCGAAGAAATATTTACTTTTCAATTAGATTCTCATCTCTGGCTCTACTCTAATATATATAGCATTTTTTTATTACAATACATAACAGTTTACCAATCAAGTGGCGATATGTTTGTTGACAATAATTAAACAATGTCAAAATGTCAATGGGTTGATAATTGACAAAGAAAATCAGTACACATTTAAAACGTAGAAATGGTTAGAATAAATTAATTTTACAAGGATAACACATAATTAAAGATAAAGTGGTCAAAATAAATAAAAAATAAAATAATTTGGACAATTATGATTTTTATAGTTTTTAAAGGTTTAGGGGGAGGGGAGCGAAGTAGCCCTGTTTATGCATTCTTGTAACGATGGCCACGGTAAGGAAACTGGCTGTACATATTTCTTCTGAACACATAGGCTTGGCTTCTTCAGGTAAATTCCGATTGCTTCAGCTGTCTGTAGAAGACGAACTCGTAGAGCAAAATTAAGATTGGTCGGAATGCGATAAATAATTTTAAATGCAGTATTGACATCAGGCTTATGCTCAGTATCAACAAGGTGTGCTAAAATACAACTACGAATAGATCTTGTTTGTCCCTTGCTTAACCATGTTGGATGATGTTCGGAAATACGACGATGAACTTGCCTAATTGTACGCCCAATGTAGCTGGCTCCGCAGCTACAGTCAAACTGGTAGATACACATAGAAGAGGCAAATTTAGGTAGTTTATCCTTATTTCTCGAACATAAAATAGGGGTGGTTGTGAAGAGACAACGTACCTCTGTTGCATAATAAGCTCTTTTAACTGCATTCTTCAGGTGCTGTGTTATTATTTCGCTGATGTTGTCACCGAGGTACTGCAATTTTATGAACATTGGTTTTTTCGGAACTGTAGCCATACTGACTCTCCTTGGTGCTGAATTTATATTTTTCTCAATTTATCTGGATAACCTTTTTTTAAGTAATTCTCTAATAATCTTAAGCTCTTCATTGAGGCAGTCGTCTGAACAGATTAACCTAGCTCTAACGACACACACACACATACAAGTAAACATGTGACTGATATTAAGATAGTGAAATACCTTATACGTGTTCAGTGTTTTAAAGTTACTGACTTCACCTGTATAGTACTCTGTTTAGCTACGATTTATTTTACTGTGATACTAAATAAAAACGTGGTATACCAGAAAGAATTATGGATATCAAGTCGAAGTATATTTTAGGCAGATTCCAGATGGAGTTGAAAGACGCTTTTACTATCTATTATTTGGCAATTTAACATTTTTTCGTATCAAAGGCAGGAAAATCGGATGTCTGTAATCTGTACAGTAAACATACCCATTTCATCAGACTAGTCTTATTGTCACTTGAATTTTTAATCACTTTGATTAATGGGCAAACACGAAAGTAATGCTCAGATTTCCTCGACTTTTGTGAAGATAGTTGCTCAGGAGATAGTTGATGTCAAGAAACTTTTGTGTTAATTCCTTGAAGTAATACAATTGATTTCAATGTAGATTTCGTCAAGGGCCAACATCAGTTTGAGATCATTGAAAACTGCGGAGCACTGGACAGCTGTTTCGTTCTAGGTTGAAACTCTTCATTAGTACGTACCCACTGCCCTACTATAGGTCGAACCCAGAAATTTCAGATTACAAGAAGTTATGGTCAGTGGCGTCCTTTACGTCACGTTAGCGTAGATACTCATTGGAGTCATTGATTTCGGGTAGCGCTGTATCACGAATTAACACAGAATTCACTGGTCATTGAATTCCGGACCAAGTGGCCTAATGGTCGGCGAGGATGATTTCGTTACCTCACAGGTATCAGGTTCGATCCCTGGTGGGGATGTAGGTGTGCACTACTCAAGAGCTTCAAACTAAAACGAATCAGCTGCTCAGTGCCCCCCAGATTTCAGGGGGTCTCTAATTGATGTTGGTTTGTGACGAGGTCAACATTGAAATTAAGTCAAATCCCTACAAATAAACCATATTTGGGTCAGATTTTGTCGCGAATCATATTTCATTAAGAAGTCTTGAATAGCCGTCTTTCTAATATGCCCTTCTCCAGTAGTACATACCTGGGACCCAATGAAGAATAAAGGTTAGATCCATCACGTTTTTGGGTAGGAAATACCTAAATATCTGTCCAGTCCTTTCGAATGATTCGACTCCTTACAAAATGTACATTGAAGCCAGTCAAATCTGACACTGACAGTAGTAATACTGCTGAAAACATGTTAGATTTATTTCTTCATCACGGTGAATGTTTTTAGAATTAACATCTAGTTATTTTACTGCTTTTAAAGTATGCCGGAATATGCAAGAACCAGGTTTTCACTTCAGATGTTCTGGAGTTTTTATAAGATATTATAGAAGTATTAAAGTTCCTATTCAAAGTCATTTAAGCAGTCAAAGGGCAGTCAATTACAAGTTGGGAGATCATTTTGTTTATTTAATTTGTAGTTATTATTTTATCGACTGTTATTTTTAAAGTGCTTTTAATCTTTCATTGACTACTTTTTGAAGTTATCTCCACTTTCTTTAACCTTGGATATTAAGTGTAGGTAAGCTGCAGAACTATTTGTAGAACGTCCATACCCCCCCTCCACACACCTACCTGAAAATTACTAGTTAGCATGTCAACACCCTATTTGTATTTATCTATGGTTATATGGTTAATTCACTAAGATTCATCTAGCATAACTTTGTATTTTATTTGTATATATGGTTTAAATTATTTTTAAAGGTTTTGTTAACGTATGGGTTTGTATCCCACCTCAATATCCGCACAAAGCTCCACTTTTAATTGTTGATGGATTAATTTCATATCTTGGTTCTGTCGGTTCACGAAATATAGAAGAAACTGTAACTGATTTATGTGATCTTCATGTTCAGGTATTCTTTTATTTATTTATGGTAATTATTCTACAAATCATGCTATAATTCAAATATTTGTTTAAATGTTTTCACTCCTTCTAGGGTTAAAGTTCTTTTTTGAAAGACACTTGGTTAACAGTTGGTTATCAGTCTTCTGAATTAAGCTTCTTTTCACTGATCATAACTCGTAGATAATTCATAGTGGTTTCTATTGTCACTGATTGGTCGGAGTAGGTGAATGCTGAGCAATCGGTCTGAAATTGTGGTTTAATGTTATCTTTAAACATTACCTTGTGGTTATGGTTCTTATCGTGAGAAGTTTAATTTCTCTTACACGTTATTTAACTGGGAGGTCGTCAAGTTTTCTTTAAGATATAGGCTTTTTGTAAATCTGCTTGTGAAATGTTTTATCATGTTTACTTTGTAGAGGTATGTCTAATAGACTGAAGTACCAATAATCTTATGTGACTCCTACCCCGGCTACTTTGATTCGCGGAACGAGGTGGTGCCTTAAACTCCAACAGATCAAGTGTAACGCATAATTTGGTAAAACTAACAGCTATCATTCATATTTTAGGTCGAAATGCTAAAAACGTGAAATTTTGGTTCTAGCTGTAATTCTGATTTGAAACTTGTAAAAGAACTACAGTTATGTAAAGTTTAAGGCGAATTTCAGAATTCTTTGCTGTGATCACAAACGGTGAACCTACGATTGTTAGTTAAGGTATTCTGTTGACGTTTGTTAAAAGCAGCAGTAGTTGTCACTTTTCTCCCTTTGACTTTTCGTTACTACAACTAGAAAGAGTCTCTTTTGCAAGTATTGATGAATAAGATTACTCGCTTTTATCCTTTCCAATCTTTTCAGTATTCCATTCTCATAGACTGTTAACATTTGATAAACGTCCTATGTAGCAAGGTTGATAATTATGTTCATAATTTATCTTTTTTTGCTATACACTGAAAAAGATTCCCCCCCTGCGTTTTCCGCGTCATAAAGGAATTAGTTAGTAATCTGTCTGTCTGGATTCAACATAGAACTTGGCCCCGAAGTGCAGCAGTTCGAGTTGCCACGTTCCAAATAGCACACGGAGGTAGACAAGAAGATGAGTGAAGAGAATCAATAGAGTTTGACAAATATAAGAGTGAAACAGAATGGGTAATGGTAGAAAGGAATATGAAAGATTACAGAGACTGAATACATCTGCGCTGGCCATTGACAACGATTTTGAGCCATGTCACCTATTGTCTCCAGCCATTGATTCCTAGAGTCCCGAGGGCCCCAACCCGGGAGTCTGCATCTCCCTACCTGACTCAGTTTAACTGTCAAGGATTTCATGGATTGATGAGGCCATGTTTTTGTTTGGCCACCACTGGCTCTTTTCCAACCTGAACCTATATCAGCTAGCAAAGCCCGTCGGGGGAGGCGGTGGTTAGGCATGCGCAGCACGTGACCTAGCCATCTTAGTCTATGTAACTTTATAGCCTCGTCGATTGATTTTCCCTCTTTGCCCAACACTCTACGCCTAACGTCAACATTACTTACCTTGTTAAACCACCTAACGTGAGACAGAGATCGCAGACATCTATGATCGAAAGCAGTCAACCTTTTCATGTCTTCAACGCGTATTAGCCATGTTTCAGAGCCATAGAGAAGGCAGGAGCGAACTGCTGAGTAGTACACACGTCCCTTGGTTGATAACCGGATGTCACGCCTACGCCAGAGGTGGTGTAAGTCAGCGAAAGCAGCTCGAGCTTTTCGGATCCGTGCTGAGATTTCATCGCCAATCAGTCCGTTGGTGCTAATACAACTTCCCAAATAGGTGAAGTGGTCAACGTGTTCTATCACTTCACTCCCTATCACTAAGCTAGGAGTTGACGTAGTCCAGTCCTGTAGCAGTATCTTACATTTTGCAGGGGCGAATCGCATGCCAAACATACGAAGATTGCTGCTCAAGGTGTTCAGAAGACTCTGCATTTTGTCAGCATCCTCCCCTAACAGGACTATGTCATCTGCATATTCTAAGTCCATAAGACTATTCCCTGGTAACAAGTCGATTCCTAAGTCATTACGTTCAGTTAAGGATACTTCCATTAGCATATCTATGATGAAGTTAAACAGAAATGGGGAAAGTGGACATCCCTGTCGGACACCACTGGTTGTTACCAATTCAGATGACAATTCCCCATAAGCCCTTACACGACTACGTGAGTTTGAATAGAGTGCCTTGATTAGTGCAATGTACTTTCTTGGCACTCCCTTCACAGTCAGACATTGCCATAGTACCTTTCGATCCACGAAGTCGAAGGCCGCCTTCAAGTCAAGAAATATGACAATTGTTGGACGCCGAAAAGTGTGTCTGTGTTCTAGAATCTGTCGAAGAGTGAAGATATGATCTATGCACCCTCTACCTGGTCTAAAGCCTGCTTAATTTTCCCTTGTCTGTTCCTCCCGAGTTCTGCTTAGTCTATGCATGATTACTGAGCCTAGGATTTTAGAGACTATGTTCGTTAGGCTGATCCCCCTATGATTATCACACGAGGACTTGTTTCCCTTCTTGAATATAGGTATAATAAGTGACTTACCCCAGTCTGATGGAACTGTCTCTGATTCCCAGACTTTGCCTAGTACCTCAGTTAATCTACAAACTAGTATGTCACCCCCATATTTAAACACCTCCGGAATAATTCCGTCGGGTCCTGCCGCTTTGCCTCGTTTCAAATTACTGATAGCTTTTGTGACCTCACCTACAGACGGCGGACCAGTGTCTTTATCCCATTCGGGTACGTGATGGATGGCAGGGAGGTTCAGTGTGGCTATAGGCAAGTTAAATTGTTCCTCAAAGTGTTCTTTCCAGCGTTCAAGGCGTCTATCCTGAGAGCTAATTAAGGAGCCATTTTTCTCAGAAATAGTCTCACTTATGAATTGCCTTCTCCCACCCGATTCTGTGATGAGTCTAAAGAGTTGCCTAGTGTTGCCTATCGCCTATGCTTTTTCCATCTCTTTTGCCTTTGTCACCCACCACTGTTCACGGTCCTTGCGGAGACTTTTAGTAAGTTTCCTTTTGTGCAGCTTTCGCTCCTCGTTGAATTCGGAGCTCGCCGGAATAAGTCTTCTAGCATCTATCAGTTCGGATGAGGCAGTCGAAATCCAGTGGATTTTACTCACCTTTGGATTTGCCTTATTCACAGCTTTTACAGCTGTATCTATAGCTGAGTGAATATTCTTCCAGGCTTCTTCAGGGTGAGCACAGCCGTCGAATTCAGATATGCGTTTAGCTAGTTCTTCCTCAAATAGGGATTTAGTTTCCTGATCGAGCTGGGGACGTGATGGTGTAACAACAGAAGACAAGGGCTGGCAACAGATCGTTTTATTATGAAAATCAACACGTATTTATACATATTTCACATACATTATTATAGACAAGCGCAGTCATCTGATTGGTTGTTTATCAGAAGTTAGGCAGACAAACGCAGACTTCTGATTGGTTGTTTCGGGATTCCTTGACAAATAGAGTTCTCTATCTGCGAATCATATTTTGCCACGTTAACTTTGCTGTGATTGGTTGTTGACTCAGCCTTGTTCATATTTTCTCACGGCCAATATTAACGTAGCTTAGTGTCAACCAATCGGCTAGCAGCCTGCTCTCACCACAATGGTTTTACCGCCAGGTGTTTCCTACGTCCGTTCAGTCGTAAGCACACATGAGCCCGGACCAGTGCGTAATCGGTATCTACACACGTGTTCCAGAAGGAGCGACAATCTCCTACCGACCCACGCCAACGATAGCTTATTGCTATGTGGTCTATTTGTGTCCAGCGTTGGTTTGATGATGGGGGTCGCCAGGTTAAACAGTGTCTCTCCTTGTGTTTAAAGTTAGTGCTTACAAGAAACAAATGATTATCTGAACAGAACTGTAGGAGACGGTCACCGTTGTCGGTTCGCTGGCACGGAACTCCATAGTTGCCACCGACATCCTTCTCAGATTGATACAATTTCCCTACTTGAGCATTAAAGTCACCAGCTAGAACGACTATATCTGAGCGTTTAGCCTTTCTCACCAAACTAGACAGCTTTTGGTAGAACTCATCCTTCGTTTCATCCGAACTGCAGTCAGTGGGGGCGTAGGCGGAGATTAAAAAAAGGCATCGGCGAGTAGTGCAGTCCTTTCTCCTTCTTACTGATCCGTTCAGACGGACAGCACACATTCGGCTATCTACCGGGATCCAGTCAAGCAATGTGTTTTCTGCCCTAGTACTCAGAGCTATCCCTACGCCAGCTAATCCTCGTGAACTAGCTGTGGCATCTCCTGACACCCTCAAGGTGAATTTTGAAGATTCATCCTGTTGGCCAGGTGGGGTTAGGTGAATAACCACACTTGGGTCTTATATGCGTGTTTCTGAAACACAACATACATCAATGGCTCGGGATGCCAGAGTCTTAGCTAGTGATGCTTGTTGTCCTATTTGGCAAAGTGTCCTAACATTAAATGCTCCTATATGAAATTGGTGGCGTGGCTTTAGGAGACTATCCGTGGTGGTTTTTCGGCTTTCGTCGTTTTTAGTGGACACAGAGTGAAGAGGGAGTGAGGAGCCATCAAGTAGAGGAGTTGCATCACTGGGGGGAAGGCAAGGTAATAGAGATGAAGACAAAGATAAGTGAGGATTAGAGAGGTTTTGTGTGCATTTCGGATTGTGAGGGCGTTTGTTACTTCCCGGTTGCCGACACCGTGTAAGTTGGTTGCGTGACCGCAGAGCCCAGGGGGCAACTGCTTGAGGCCGGTCACACGCGGCCTGTTTTTGTTTGTTCTTTATTGTTTGGTGTGCCTCAGTAGCATACTTATCACTCCCGCCCTGTGACACGGCAGCAGGAAGCGCGGTCGTTGTTAATCCGGGCCACGGCCGATCCGGCATGAAATTTTGTGAATTTGTTTGGATCATGGTATTGGATGAGGTAGCTGCTTTTTGTTTAACCGCTATCCAAACAACCTGCCTGGCATGGTAGAACCTCAAGAGACATAAGTCTCAGCCAGTATAGCTTGATTAGGTCATTGCGGTGTTCAAGCCCGACCACCACGTCAAGGTAGCAGCTTTCGGTCGGGATTAGTTAGTAATCTGATGGTTAGGTTCTAAATGTGATTAATTTCACTGAATGTCGACTGTGCATAGTGTGAAGTTATGCCACATTGATTTATTGATTAGACTCTACACTAGTGGGCCGCGCTTTCTTACTCCTACCTACCTAAGCTGATGCAACCAAGTAACCTTCGTACACCAGTTTCAACTTATTACCTGTGGTTACTGAGATGTGTTGTTGCGTTTTTTTGTAGTAGTTTATTTTAAAGCTAGAGGTAAATTAAAAAGGTTTTAAAATACTAGGTTATTTTCTTTTAAAGAGAAATATTAGCCTGAAAAGTTATTCATTTCAAATTTGAATTTCAGGAATTAGAAACTGAAGTCAATTGTTATTGGCATGAATTCTTTATAGCATCTTTAGATCAAAATGTTGGATTGGCAGTTGTCAATCATGCTGGAAATCACAGTAGTAGTAATAATAATGTTACAGACACTTCATCAAAAGCTACTACTACCACCACTACTACTCATAATAATAACAATAACAACACGAACAATAGTCAGTGTACTGAATTAAATAAATGGTGTCGTAATATATTATCATGTCAGTTAGCTCGATGTGCTTCTTGTATTGATGCTCTATGTCGAGATCAAATTATGTGGAGGAATTCATTGAAATCAAATAATAATTCATCTGTTCGTGGTGTCAAGTAAGCGAGATGTGCATTCGTTTTTACTTCTTGAAAATAAGTGATTTTTTGAACTTGTAAGGTATCATTTTTTTACTGCCACCATGTCCGTCAGTTATTTTTAGCTAGTTTACTCGTTTACTGGAAAAGCAGCAATACCAGATAGAATCCTAGCAGAAGCATTGAAAATGGATCCAGAGACAACAGCGGGCTTGATGACGCCATTGCTGGAGAAGGTGTGGAAATAGGGCAAAGTACCCGAGGATTGGAAGAAAAGCTACTTATTCAAGCTGACAAAGAAAGGAGACTTAAGTCAATGCAAGAATTGGCGCGGAATTATGCTCCTGTCCATCCCAAGCAAATTCTGGAGAGAATCAAACGAGCATTAGTACAAACTGGAAGATATGCAAGTGAACAGCAACATGTCAGAAGAAGCACCAAAGATGGGACTTCAGGTGAACATAGAGAAAACAGTGGTGATGAAGATTCCTGGCCAACACCAACGGCAACAGCAACAACAACAGAAAATAATCAGCATAAATGGAAGGAATTTGAAAGAAACAGCCTCCTTTACCTACCTGGGAGGCATCGTTCAACTACAGGCGGAACTGACAAGGATATCAAAGCCAGAATCGGGAAAGCAAGACAAGCTTTCATTATCCTCAAGTCTGTATGGAGATCAACAGAACTCAGCATGAAAAATAAGATCCAGATTTCTAACTTCAATGTGAAGTCAGTGCTACTTCACGGATCAGAGATTTGGCGCGTCATTAAGAGCACTTTGAACAAACTACAGACCGTCATCAACAGCTGTCTTCGCTGAATACTTCGCTCAAGATCAGATGGAAGGCCAGAAAAGATCAGCAACAAGGATCTCTGGCAATGAGCGAACCAACCAGGAACCGATTGTGAAACAAATAGGCAGGAAGAAATGGAGGTGGATTGGCTGGCAGTATTCTGAGGAAAGCATCAAGTGACATCACTAGACAAGCCATTGCCCGAGTGGAACCCGAAAGGGAAGCGGCGAGTTGGTCGTCCAAGGGTGACTTGAAGGAAGTCATGTGAAGAGGAGATGAAGGTATGTGGACAGACTTGGAGCCAGGTGAAAACTTTAGCAGAGGACCGAGTGCAATGGAGACGCGCGTCTGAAGCCCTATGTTTCTCTAAGAATTAAAGGGAATAATAATAATACTCGTTGTATGATTTTGGGTATCGTATAATAAAAATGTAAAAAGTGAAGGTTATGAAACACTTAGTGTTATTTATTAACTTTCCGGTCATTGTGATTGTGAAAATAGACTTTCTTTTGGTAGAAGTTATTAGCCTGAATGACTGTTTATTGAAAGAGTAAATTGATTATTGGATAAATTACGTGTATTTTCTTGTTTTTCTTTTCTTCCGAAAATATACTGGGAATAAAATCAAAATCTGACTGATGAATTAATTTCAGTGAATCTTATAATCCACTGTATTTGATTTTTTTTCAATGATTATTGATAATTATCAGCTTTCCTCTACTAAGATTTAAATTATATACAGTCATTTACAACCTAAAAGTGAAATATTCTGGAAGAAAAATAAAAATAAAGGACGAAATGTTACTCACCGAAAACTTGCATTTATGTTGATATCTGGCAATGAATCACATCTATTTATTATCCGAGAGCTGATGTGATACCACTTTAGTCGGGGAAGTGGAGTTAGAATCCGTTGCTTAATGGTTGAAAGAGTGGTAACCAGTGTGGACATTTAGTCCGGAGTACTGAGTTGAAACACAGTCAATAAGCCAACTTGTTGGTAAAGACTTTATCACTGAACAAACAGTTATATTCTTTTTCAATTAATTCCTCATCGTCGGCTCTACACTAATATATAGTTTTTTTATATCAAAATGTTTTACCAATCAAGTGGTTATTTTAATTAATCGGTTTTAGGTATAAGCGGGGGTGAAATCAAGAGGTTAAAAGTCATCAAAACAAATAACTAATAGATGTTAGCAACAAGATATCCAAGTTTTAAAAGAGGGATGGAAATTAATTATGGTATTCAAGATAGGTTGATTCTTATGCGTTGGCAACAAGTTATTATATAAACAAGAAATTTGTAAAATAGCAACTATGACTAAGAAGAATAGGATGACTCAAAAGAGTTACGTCAACCACAAACAAGTTGATAGAATTAGCTAGAATTGTAAAAATTAACAAAGTCAAAAGATGGTTACAAGGGGAGGAAAAAAATCGTTTTAACACATAGATTTGGTTTGTTCAGATGAATTCCAATTGCCTCTGCTGTACATAAAAGTCATACTCGTAGACCATGCGGGAGGTTGGGTGAACTACGATAAATAACTTTAAAAGCTTTGTTAGGGTCGATTTGATGTCCAGTATCGACGAGATGAGCTAGTATTGAGCTGCATATAGCTTTATTCGGACCTTTGTCAAACCAAGTTGGGAGGTGATGAGGAACTAGTTGGAGAGGAATATATTTCTTCGCTCAATCTGTTGTCTTTGATAAGTGCGTAAATGGGAATTCGGAAACAGTTATGTGTTACAGGATTTCATCACCAGCTGACATCAGTTAGAAAACCACTGGAAAACCAGCTGGGAGTACAGGAAATCTATTTCGTCCCCATTTGGAGCTTCTCATCAACACGCATCCACCGACAGGGTTCGAATCCAGAACCTCCTCATTACAAGGCTAGAGGCTCGTAGACCACTAAGTCACTGGGCCCTGACGCAATAGCCCATGCATTTCAACTTCTGCCAATTCACGACATAGCGCTACCACTAGCCAATGTCTTCGGCGAGTATTTGTCCTCACACGTGACCTGCTGTACCTGTTACTGATTCGCACATTAGTTGGATGGATGTCACAAGTTTACTATTGTTGTTGTCATTGTGGAAAATTGACTATGATAGCTTAGTGTGTTAGTGGTTAATTTTATGCCTATACAATTTTATTTTGATGTTTATACAATCCAATCACTGTCACTTTATTTATATTGTTCCCCGGGCTTCTTCAACAGGTATCCAACGAGAAGTCGGCCTCTTCGTTATCTACCTACGCCAGGCGCTTTTGTTCATCGTTAACACTCACTTGTGTATGTATGTCTTAATACTGACTATTTGGGTGTCTTTTTTTATCCACGCTTTCGAATATTCTCTGTTTCCCTGTTACCCCACCTTTGTTGATAACTGATAACGTGTAATGTATACGCTTATTTGTACATAACGCATAATCTGGAGATAGCTAATGTAATGGTTTTTTAAAATAAAAATGTTAGTTTTTTCTCTCTGATTGCTGTGAATTATTTCACCTGTTATTTTTTTTCAAATACCTTTCGATAGGCGAGGACGCTGAAAAAATGCAGGGTCTTCTAAACACCTTGAGCTGCAATCTACAAATGTTTGGCATGCGATTCACTCCCGTCAAATGCAAGATGATGTTACAGGACTGGACTACATCGACTCCTAGTTTAAAAATAGGAAGTGAAGTGGTAGAGCACGTTGACCGCTTCACTTATTTGGGAAGTACCATCAGCCCCAACGGGTTGATCTCTGACGAAATCTCAGCACGGATACATATGCCAGCTTACGCCGTCTCTGGCGTAGACGAGATTTTCGACTATCGACCAAAGGGCGGGTGTACTGCTCATCAGTCCGCTCCGTCCTCCTTTATGGCCAGCTGTGAGACCTGGCCACTGAGAGTGGAAGACATGAAAAGATTAGTTGTCTTTGATCATAGGTGCCTGCGTTCTATCTGCTGTGTGAAGTGGTATAATAAGGTGAGTAATATTGATGTTAGGCGTCGGGTGCTAGGTAAGGAGAGGAAATCAATCGAAGAGGTTGTGAAATTACATCGACTGAGAGAGATGGTTAGGACATTTGTTACGCATGGTAGCCTAGTCATCGCCTTCCTCGACGAGCAATGTTAGCTGATATAGGGTCAGGCTGGAAAGGAGCTAGCATGTGGTGGTGAAACCAAAACATGGCACCAGTCAATGAAATCTACAACAGTTAGTCTAAGCCACGTAGGAAGGTGTAGACTTCCTGGTTGGGGTCCTCGGGACGGTAAAAACCAATGGTTGGAAACAATTGGTGACATGGCTCAAAATCGTTCTTAATGGCGCAGACGCATGCACTCCTTGTGACTTATTACTTCCAATGAAACTGCATTGTTTTTCGTTATTACTCTTCCTTTGTCTCACACCTCTGTTTACTGTCTCTATTATGCTTTTCTTGTACTTTCTCCTCTTGCTTTGTGTGCTACATGGAGGGAGTGTGGCGACTTGAACTTCCGCACGTCGGTGCACAGTTCTGTGTCGAAAACAGACAGACAGGTTGGGTGTAATTAATTTGTTGTTACATTTTAGCGTTGCGTATCATCGGCATAGTCTGCTAACAGTATTTCACAAGACTTAGATGAAAAGAAGAGATTTAAAAAATTCACTTGTTTACTGGTGTCTAGAAGCGGAAGTGTACGTGTCATTGTATCTTGAACTCATCAGGTACACATATATACCAAAGGAAATTGATTTATTCAGTTTGGTAAAATTAACTACTGTAAATTACAAGTCTAAATAAGTAATAGTTTAGTTTTAATGTCATGATTACTCGTTCGGATTCCTGAGGGTTTACTTGTGATATGTACCCACATAATGTGTGTTTGTTTTTGACAGTCTGTTGTATTTGGCTATGTATATATGGATCGATATTCCATTATAATTAACAATCATGTTAAGACTGTCTATTGATTCGTTCATTTTTGAACATTCGCTCATACACTTGTGTGACATTGATTTTCTTTGTTTGAAAAATACAGGTATCATCGTGAACCTGGTGGTTTTCTGATTTCCGCCTTCTTGCGTCAGCACTATTAATTACTCGACCAGTACATAACAACTTGCTTGGCAAGAAACAGTACTAATGCTTTTTAAATACCAATTAATATCATCAGCGATAACAGATAATGAGTGGTTTCGTGTTATTTATTATACTTTTTCTTTGACAACTTTGCAGCCTACGCTTAAACTACTGCTCTGCAGAAATTTCCATTAGATATACTGGATTGCATCTAACTTGAATCATTTGGTTTCATTTCCAAGTCGTATTCTGTACTGACGCTCATTTTTAAATTAGTTTCAAAATATCACTTTGCTTTCCTCGGGTTTCTCAGCTCTTTTCAGATTGAACAAGATTTCATTAAACATTTCACTGTCGACTGTTATGCTACTTGGAAGTTCTGCACAGGGAAAACGCATTTTGTTGTAAAATCTTGGGATTATTCCGTACCAAGTAAAGAGTGACATCCAATATGTATATATTTGTATATCCACTGGCCTGAACGTTTTTCAACATGATTTAGCCTACTTGTAAGTAGTGTAGTTTGTTATCGCAAATATTTAGCTCAGATCAAAATTAGTGGATTCATTACTGATTTGGTAGTGCTGTATGTATGAACATTTTCCAGTTTGTTTAGAGGATGATACACACTTATATGGAAACGAATTTCTTGTCAGATGGATATAACGTTAGCTTTATTCCTTATTATTCCATTTTGGATAAGATTTTATTTTGATAAATCACACAGTGTTATACAGTAATATTAACTGATGACGTTTCGAGCAAACTATTGCTTATAATCATATCAAGTCACTCACACAACTTTTTACTTCATTTATGTACGAGTGCAACTGATTAGATATTTGAATACCTTATATTGATTTTTACTGATTGAGAAGTTACTGGGTTCGAACCCCGGTGGGTGCGTACTGCTTACGGAACAGCTGTCCAGTACTCCCAGGTTCTCACTGGTTGTCGAACCAATGTCAGCTCATGATGAAATCATGTAATGGCTTGATGTGATTATGAACGATAGTGTGTGCTTGAAACGTAATGATTTAATATTACTGTATAACACTATGTGATTTGTCAAAATAAAATCTTTTCCATAATGGAGTTATACTCTACCACAGTGCCCAGGTTTTATACTTTTATCAATTATTCTTTATTAGGTGAATTTGTACGCATCATGCATCCCATAAAAATACTAATTTCCTTCTTGCTTTGCCAATAATCTCTTCTTGACGTACGTTTATTAAAGAAAGGAAGTATTTATGGCAGCTTCTACGTGGTCTTCGGTGGTATACATTGATAGCTATAATTTAATTATTTATAGTTGTGACTTTTGCTGACTTTTGTTCACTGAATTTATCAACTTCATTTCGGCAAATAGGAGCCTCAAATATTGCTTTAATAACTAACTCTACGTCTGAACTGGCCGAAACCCGTATCTTGGATCCTATTGATAGCCACCACCAAACAATTAGAAACACATTTACGGATTTCGCCTAAAAACGTCTATGCATATAGGCTTTCAGCAACTCCTTCTCATGAATTTGAACTGTATTACTTGTCTTTCGTGTTGTAGTCGCGTAATTTTCCTTTTTTGACAAAAACTATATCCGTTCTTGTGGTTATTGACAGTTGTCGTACAAGATTCATAACCCTTGTGTTTTATATTTCGAGGGTGGGTTATGTGATATTATATAGGTCTCGTGCTTAACAACTTCCATCAGTATATTGTGTTGGTAACCTATGCCACAGAAGAAACACCTCATAAGATCTGCAATGAAGGATTGTAAGATCTTAGTCTTCTAACTTACTATAATGATTACTAATCGGTGAGTGCACTTATCCTGTAATTTATGCAACATTTCAGTAAAAATGGAGGGCCAAAAAAATATTTTAAACAGTTGGTCAGTTATCTGCACTAAAATCATTTTTCTTTAGTTGTAGTAATTAAACTTCCTGCTGTGGTTTGGCATTTGTGTTATCTTTTTTATAGCTGACGTAATTTAGTGGAATAAAAGCTCGAATTATCACTTGAATGAATGAAGGCGGGGGGGGGACCGTTTTGTTTTTGCGATAAAAAAACGATGATACTCGTCGTCATCAGTTCTCCAAGTTTCTGTTAAGACTTACAAATAAATGTATATATATGCAATAGTTTCATTTACCACTGTTCAAATAGTTAAGTCTATGCTATAGGAGACAGTTATTGCTCTGTCACTGTCTTTTCCTTCTGTCAACATTTGCTTTCTTGCTGTAATTGCTTGTTTCACATTCTTTTTTATTCATATTTCATTGATTTATGCAGTAGACAGATTGATATTTTTCTCTAGTAGTCTTAAAATTTCTGGAAAATATTAATTTCATGTCATCCCTCACATTTTTAGAATATATATATATAACTAGGTGAACTGGATAGACTTGTGCAACCAAATTTGCATTGAAAAAGTAAGATCATTATCAAATAATTCCAGTTTATTTTAGGCAAGCTTTAATACTTCTTTTATCTTTTCAAGTGAATAATGAAAAACACTATGAGAAGTGATGGCATGATAATTGGTATTCTGGTTTGTTGGAAAAAAATAAATAGACAACAGTAAATTTTGATGACAGTTTCAAGTAACGAACAAAAAAGTTGATTTGATTTAAAGTCACAGAGAATTTATATTGCATTCTAGGCAAATTGATGAGATTTGTGTATGTCCAGTGTATTGGAGATTGTTATGATGTAAGTCATCTAAATTACAGAAATATTTTAGAATCAGTTATGCAAGCTTTCACCTGATTCAATGGATATTTTTATCTACTTAACTATTCAGAAATAATAGAGGTTCATATCTAAGATTATTGTCTAGCGTAAACAGTCACATGGAATATTTGTAACTTATGGTGGGCCATAAAGGCTTGTTAGTCCTATTGGATAGGCGCGTGAGTTGAAGATCACTAGGAATTCAGAACAGTTAGACAAGTTGGTTATCAATACATATTATGTCTTCTGTAAAGTTAGTTGCTTATTTGTCTTGCAAGCAAGAGTAAAATCGATACCTAATAATTCACAGTTATAGGATAATACTGACAACTATGATTTGTATACTGAATGAACCGCTTTATTTGATCGTGAAGGTTAACACTCTCAAGATTTACCTACCAACCAAGGCGAAATCATTTCTAAAATCTCATTAGTTACTTTATAATTAGTGTTAAGTAAAACTTTCAAATGAATAAAGTAGTCGGTGGATCAGAAGGGTGATCGGTAGAATGTGATGACATATCACAAAATCAGTGGAGTTAATAACAGTTATCACAGGTTTAAAGTGCATGTTATATACTATATTTGCATGCTACAAAGTTTAAATTTTGATATAACTGAATGATTTAAAAGTATTGACAGAAGTTTATATTACTGGATAGGTTGTAAAGGTAAAAACCTTCTGAAACCGAAAATTTTGTCGTGGATTCAGACATTGGTCAGTTACACAGGGACCATTTTGCTGGTTCAAGACTATTAGGAATAGTTCTGCTGGCTATGCATTGAGATGAGATA